TGTGTGTGTGTGGTCATGGGTGTGAGTGTCTACTTGTGGAGACCAAAGGAGGACATTGTATGCCCTATGATATCATTCTCTGCCTTATTCCCTTGGGTCGGGGTCTTTCAGTGATCCAGAAGCTCACTGTTTTAACTGAACTGACTGGCCCGTGAGCTGCTGTGCTCTGCGTGTCTCTGATCCCAACACTAGGGTTGTGGACACACGTGGTCACGCCCAGCCTTGTTACACGTGTATTCGGGGTTCAAAACAGGGGGCCTTAAGCCCTCACAGTAAGCGCTGTCACCGAGCCACCTCCCCAGCCCCTCTCTTCTCTAGCTGACTCATTATGAATTCCATAAGAACACGGAGGCAGAGCAGCTGTCCCTCTTCTTCAGTTGAGGCCGCAGCTTCTGAGCTCTGTTGACCTTTGGAACACTTTTCTTGGGCCATAAAATGGAGCCGGGAGCCAAGGCTAGTGGGTGGCTAAGCCCAGGGAAACACAGCCTCTCTGTTTTCTTGCTAGCCCAGACAAAACGGAGAGGCCTCCTCCCTAATCTCAGTCACATTAGTGTTGTCCGGGGAGGGCTTGGGAGGTGTCGGTGCTCAGCAGCCTGCAGCTTGCCTGTCCGTGACTCGACAGAGCTCTGCTCGGATTCTGTTTTCCAAAGAATTCCACCCAAATAGCGAGTCTCCTAGCTCGGCAGCCCCTGCCAGGGGACCCTCAGTTATTCTGTACCCCCAACCATCTAACCTTCCCCATCATGCTCTAATTGCAGATTTTTGCTAGTCTTCAGCTGCCTGGTGCTGTCAGTGTTGTCCACTATCCAGGAGCACCAGGAACTTGCCAACGAGTGTCTCCTCATCTTGGTGAGTGCTGGGAGTCCCCTTTAGAGTCTCCTCCAAGGCCGAGCAGCATATGACGTAGCACCTCCCACCTGAGGAGAGAGGCTTCCTAGACTGCGGTCAGGGAGCAGATGGCTGCCCCTCTCTGGCCATCATTCCTGGTGCAGGGGGATCTCCTGTTCTAAGTGAGGCCTGAGGATGGGCCCAGGATAGACTAGGCGAGCAGGCTCCATTCTACACCAGAGCAGAAGCAAACCTCACGGTGTTAAACAAAAACACCCATAGAAGGCCCTTCCGCCAACGGAGAGCCACCCTTAATGTCACTCAGCCAGGGCCAAGAGTCTAGAATGGTTGGAAGGCTGCAGGCAGGGAGAAGAAGAAATGCAGGCATCTTATGGAGCTAGACATTTGTGTATGGGGGCAGACTTGGGCTTCTCTTCTCCCTGGAGGACAAAGAGGAGGCCACCTCCCTTCTAGAATCCTCTCAAATCTTTCCAGGTATAAGAGGGACTTAACCAGGTGCTGGTGTTCCTAACATGGGGTTGGGCTCTGATCTGGGTCCTGGTCCCCCACAGGAATTCGTCATGATTGTGGTCTTTGGCTTGGAGTACATAATCCGCGTCTGGTCGGCTGGCTGCTGTTGCCGCTACAGAGGATGGCAGGGTCGCTTCCGCTTCGCCAGGAAGCCTTTCTGTGTCATCGGTATAAGCCTTCGCTACCCTGCCCCACCCCAAGCCTCAGGGAGGCTTTTTAATCTCATCCTTGACCCCGATCCTGGCTTCTCATGAATTTAGCGGACCCTCCCAATCTGCACCCCCTCCCCCATTACGGTCCCAGGAGTCCCAGACCCCAGGTCTTGACGCGAGGTGGGCTGGTGACTTCAGCACCTCTGCCCTGCAGACTTCATCGTGTTCGTGGCCTCGGTGGCGGTGATCGCCGCGGGCACACAGGGCAACATCTTTGCCACGTCCGCGTTGCGCAGTATGCGCTTCCTGCAGATCCTGCGCATGGTGCGTATGGACCGCCGTGGCGGCACCTGGAAGCTGCTGGGCTCCGTGGTCTACGCACACAGTAAGGTGAGGCTGGGGAAAGGGGCGGGAGAACAAAGCTCCTGGAAACTACCCGAGGTGCGAGCAAGAGGCGGAGCTGGGGCGGGGCCAACGCTGGGGCAAGCGGGGCCTGGAGCCAGGCCGAGGAGTCCTACCTAGTCAAGGACTGATGCGGGATAGGCCTACTTTGAGCCAAGAACAATCGGGGCTTGGCAGGGGCGTGGCCTATCTGAAAAAGGGGCTGGAGCTGAGCAGGGGTGGGGCCTAATAATAAGAGACCTGAGGAGGGGGCGGGGCCTACGCTGGGGGGTGGGTGTCGACGCGGCTGGCGCCAGCAGGGGCGGGGCTTAGGCAGGGCCTGAGAGGTAGAGCTTAAGGATCGCATCAACAAGCACATTGGTTTGGACAGGACCGCTCCCAATGGAGTGGGGGAACTGGGTAGTTTCTAAGGGTGCGTCTGGGAAGGGATCAGATGGGTTGAAACCTGAAAAGATTAAGGACAGGCCTGGGGTCTGGCTCTGGGGGTTCTGAGAAGGCCGGGCAGGGGCTCCATCCTTGAAGAAGGGGGGAGACTGGAGGAGTGTGTGCAGCTTTATGCCCTGACAGGCACCCCTCCTTTTTCCCTCAGGAGCTGATCACCGCCTGGTACATCGGGTTCCTGGTGCTCATCTTTGCCTCTTTCCTCGTCTACCTGGCTGAGAAGGATGCCAACTCTGACTTCTCCTCCTATGCCGACTCGCTCTGGTGGGGGACGGTGCGTGAGGGTCCGTGCAGGTCCGCCCTTCCCCCTAAGAACTTCCCTGGACACTTCCCAGGTTCTGTTCCCTTACCGCGGCCCGCCCCCCAACTCAGGCTTAGGTTGGCGCTTCTGAGACTAGTTCCTGTGCTTGCCCCCTAGCTACTCTGTTGGACCTGTCTGTGCCCCACATCCAGCCCTTCACTCAGCCCTTGTGCCCTGTACTGCTTTTCCTTGACTAGCGTGAGAACCCATCTGTACCCCTCCAGTCTCTCTGAGAAGTCCTTGAGATCAGTCCCTATGGCCGCTCTGTCGGGGAAGCCCTTCTCTGGTCCTCAGTTTGCTGTATCTTCAAGTCCTTGTGGCTGGCCACTCTGCCCAGTCCTATGGGTAACCTGTTTCTATCTCCAGATTACACTGACAACCATTGGCTATGGTGACAAGACACCACACACATGGCTGGGCAGGGTTCTGGCTGCCGGCTTCGCCTTACTGGGCATCTCCTTCTTTGCCCTGCCTGCCGTGAGTTCTCTGCTGGTTGGAGAGGGAGGCTGGGACCAAGACCTAGCCAGCCTAACCTAAATTTGCCTTAGGCAGCCTGGGGTACCTCCGATGGGCAGGTATGGGAACGTTTTAGTTGCCTCTTGTCCCCCTTTCTACATTACCTGCAGCCATGCCCTATCCCCGTAGGGTATCCTGGGCTCTGGCTTCGCCCTGAAGGTCCAGGAGCAGCATAGGCAGAAGCACTTTGAGAAGCGGAGGATGCCAGCAGCCAACCTCATCCAGGTACATGGTGCTTAGGAGGCCCCGTGCTTGTCAGCCCTGTGGGCTGACCCATGTGTCCCAACTTAGGAACTACAAGTCTGCTTCAAAGCTCAGAGAGGGGCGGGACTTTGGGGGAGGCGGTGTCTTAGCCGGGGTTTTTATTGCTGTGACGAGACACATGACCACTGCAACTCTTTTAAAGGAAAAACATTTAATGAGGGTGGCTCACTTACCGTTTCAGAGGTTCAGTCCATTATCATCATGACGGGAGCATGGTGTTATGAAGGCAGATTGTAGCTGAGAATCCTACATCTTACAGGCAACAGGAAGTTGGCTGACTCCCTGGGCGGGATCCTGAGCATAGGAAACCTCAAAGCCAGCCCCACAGCGACACACTTCCTCCAACAAGGCCACACCACTCCAACAAAGCCGCACTTCCTAATAGTGCCACTCCCTATGAGATTATGGGGGCCAGTTACATTCTAGCCTCCATGGGAGGGTCACATGCCACATTACAGAGCTGGGGTGCTGGCTGAATTATCAGTAATGTTCCCCTGCAGCAAATAGCTGGTTTCAAACTCCCTAGAGCCACCCTGTTGCCACCTGTGGCCATGACCTGGGATGGGGAGAGTCTGTACAAGAGCCCCCCATCTCCTAATGGAGACCTAACTCTGCCATCTTGAAACTGGGTCCTGTCGGCCTGCTCCACTCCTGGTGCCTTGATATATACTCACTGTGTCCTCAGGAAGTCGTACAATAAGAAGACGGTCCAAAGTTGGACTTTTAGTATTGCCAGCATTTAATGGGCAGGTGAGAAGGGAGCCAGCCAAGGAAATGGGAGTGGCCAGAGATGGGAGCAGGTGTAGGAAGCCAGGGTCATGTGACCTCAACTTCCCTCAGCGTGATGGCCGCGGTCTGAGTAGGCCCTGATCTGTGAGCCTGTCGCTGCCTTGGCTTCTCTCCAGGGTAGGGACGTGCAGGAGAACTCCCTGTAGGAAATAGCTGAGGAATCCTGACACAGCACACTTTTCTGCCTGCTCCCCAGCAACCTCTGACCCCCAAACCCAAGCCTGACTCGGCCCCTCCTTATCTCTCCTTCCCAGGGTACAGCCCCTTCTCCCCCCCTGCTATCTCCGACTACCAGCCCGGCCTTTTCTTCTTAGCATCCCTTGGGGCACAATGGCCACTGTCCTCTGGGAGCTGGCTTCCCTAGAGGCATTGTAGGGGCAAGCAGCTGGCCCTGGCCCTGCTGAGAGACAGCTGGTATTGTGGTACCCATAATTAATGAGAGCGCTGGCAGCTGCTGCTCCCCAGCCCATGCCAGGGACCCAGGCAAGCAGGAAGTAAAAATATTTCTGTCTTAGGAAGGCGCCAGGCTGGTGAGGTCACTCGTGGCAACCCCTTAAGGACAAGAGGCACCCAAAGGAGGGGAGGCATCTGGGGCTGCCCCAATTCTGCTTTGTCCTGCCTAACGGTCTCCATATCTCCCTGCCCTGGTGGATCAGTCCATTCACAGTCTTTCCCAGACTCTTTTTGCCTGGATAGAGAGAGGCAGTTTTTTCTGTCATCTAACTGTAGTTCCTTCTGCTGTAGAGCCCGTGACTGCCGAAGAGTTTGTGGTCAGTCATCTTCCCTGCTCCCCCTCAGGCCTTAGTAGTCCCATGGTAGCAGTAGGCGGCTGATGGAAATACAGCGGAGTCGCTGTTTGTAAAGCCATTCACTTAGTCAACATTTCCTCCCCAAACATTTGCAGAACCACCTGCGTGTGCCAGATACTGTACTTGGCACTGGGGATGCAGTGGTGCCCAAGACGAAGCTTATGAAGAAAGACACTAACCAGACACTGTGAATGTATACTTAGCTAAGGGAGCTAACGGGAGGGCTTAAAGGAGCCTGGCCCTAAGTGTGCCAGGCCCTGAGGTTGGCATGGGGTAGACATCTGTCCATTTCATCCTCCTAACAGTTTGTTAGGTCAACAACGGTCAGCCTAGCCTGCATGGGAAAATGGGTTAGAAACCCATGCCTGCCTGACCACAGACCCCAGCTCTTACCCAGGACTTGTAAGCCCCTGGCTCTGGTGCCAATTTACTAGGTCACCTTGAGGAAGTCACTTGTAGGTCTTGGTTTCTTGGCTGGCCCTGCTGGTCTATGGAATTAGACTTGGCCTCTGGTCCTGACATCATTCTCAGCTGGCCTGGGACTGGGTTTGCTCAGGGGCGGAGGGCTGGTGGGTGGCTAAGGACTTCTATGGCACCCCATTCTCCCCACGCCTCCAGGCCGCATGGCGTCTGTACTCCACTGACACAAGCCGGGCCTACTTGACAGCCACCTGGTACTACTATGACAGTATCCTCCCGTCTTTCAGGTAGGTGCTGCTGGAGTGGGAGCGGGTAGGGACTGGCACTGATTCCCCTTGAGAAGATGCCCTCAGGGTTAAGAAAGGAGATTGCTCCCAACAGGGCATTTGGGGCTGGCGCTTCAGGTCCTGCATAATTTGGAGTCTGGTTGGTCCTCTCCCCAACTCCTCTGTGCCCACCGGGCTCAGGGTATTGGTGCAACTCTGCCCCTGAAGCTGAGCCCCACACATGGAGTGCTGCCAGACACGCCAATAGGCGATGCCACCCAGGGGAGCGACAGCCAGCTCACCCCGCCTCGGTCCTGAGTGGGGGTACATTAGCCTTGTACCAACCAATGTATTGATGGTTAGAGAGGATGCCATGGCAGAAACGTGTGCCTGCCCCAGAGCCCCTGTGTGTGACTGTGTGGCCCCCGTTACTGTTCTGGGCAGCAACCTCTGAGGCCAGCAGTGAGTCTGTTCTGCTGGCCCAGGCTGGGCTCAGGCTGAATGGGGGCGGCTCTGTGCCGGAGGTTATTAATAGCATCATCAAGGTGCGTGGAGCCAGGTGCCTGGCCAGGCCCTGGGGCAGGAGTGAAGACTGCAGAGCCGGCTTGGTTGGCTCAGTCCCACGGGCAGGGTGGCATGGAGTGCGTGCTAGTCCGGGCTGCTGTGCTCAGCGCTTCTCTCCATCGTCTTTGCCTCATTAGTTATCCTCCGGCAGCTGTTGCGTGATCCCACTTGCCCGCACCCGCACCTGGCCCCCTCTTCCTCCCTCCCTGTCCCACAGGCTTCCCAGGGGAGGAGCAGGAGGTAGAGGCTGGAAAGGGGGCTCCCCACATCACCCCTCCCTCTCCCCATCTCCACACCTGGGGGAGGCCAGCTCCTACCTCAGAGGCAGAGCTGGAGGCTGGATTTGAAGCAGCCCCTTTGGGGAGGAGGGGGATGTTGGAAGGGATCAAGGCCAAGCAAGAGAGGGAGCAGGGACTGGATGCTTAGAAGTTGCCGTGGAAGTGGGGGAACTCTGGATGGGGTAGCCTGGGTTTCCTGGTAAGAGGAACAGAGCCTGGTCTGGAGATTTGGGCTCCGCTGGAAAGGCAGGTGAGGGGTGAGGGGTGGATACCTTCCTTCCTGGTTATGGCAATAGGAAATGACAGAGTTAGCCAACCCAATCCCATTTCCAGGAACTCCATGGTAGGAGGAACACCACAGGGCAGGGTGGCTGGACTGGCCACCCTATTAAATCTGTCTTCAGCTCCGGTTTCTCCTAAAATCCCAGTCAGGCTGGGAGACTAAGGATTTGAGAGCTGCTGATGGCCGCTGGGTAGGCACAGCTCCACGAAGAGGAGCAGCGTCAGCTAGATTCGAGCTCCCTCTCAGTGTGGGTGCTTTGGAGTTGTGCCCGACCTGCATAACCATACCTAGATTCCTTCCGATTTCCCAGAAACTCCTGCAAAGGGGGAGAAAGCTAGCCTCTCCACCCTGCCTGGTCTGACCTGGGGTTATTTGTGAGTGCCCTGAGGGGGTGGCTCAAGACTTGGCAGGATCTGAGCTCAGTAGCTCTGGGCCCACGGGGTGAGGTGGGTGGTGTCCCGGAAGCCCTGCCTGTAGCTGATGGCGCCCTCTCCTGCAGAGAGCTGGCCCTCTTGTTTGAGCACGTACAACGGGCCCGCAATGGGGGCCTACGGCCCCTGGAGGTGAGGCGGGCGCCGGTACCTGACGGAGCGCCCTCTCGCTACCCGCCCGTTGCCACCTGCCACCGGCCGGGCAGCGCCTCCTTCTGCCCTGGGGAAAGGTAGGGGCCCCCGGAGGCCACCACCTCCTCTTGCTTCTCCTCTTCCTTTTCCATTTTCTGTCTCACCCTCTCTCAGACCTCCTGCAGCCACCACACGGGTGTATGGACCTGTTTGGGGGAAATCTCTGGCATTGTTGTGAGGCCTGGTAGTTGTCGTCAGATGGCCAGACAGGTACAGACTGAGCGTCCTCTCTAGAGAGGCCACCCTGGACTTACCTTTCTGTTCTCTGGGTCTCCCAGGGTCTCAGAGGGAGAGCTGTCCGTACCATTCTCTCCTGTCATCTCCACCGTTCATACCATTGTCCTCTTTCTTTCTCTGTTTCCACGTCCGTCCCCCCACCCCCTTCCATCCCTGCACCCCCATCCCTCCCGGGAAGCTGGAGAGAGGAGGAGGCCGCTGGCCCCAGGTGCTTACGGCTCAGGTAATGGAGGGTGCTTTTTCTGTTCTGGGGTGTGAGGGAAGGGACCCCCTCCCCCGGCATGCTGCTGGAAGAGAGCTCTGTGACTAAGACGGCTACAGGACCTGCGTAAAACTCCACCAGTGTCTAACACGCTTATCTCTGCAGCTCTTCTCTGCAGCTTTGCTGGGCTGGGGAGGTCACCCCGGGGCTCTCTCCTTCTGGACTGAGACACTCTTTGCTGTCCCCAACCCTCTCTCCCAACTTGACCCGGAGCTTTGGCCTGTTGAAAGAAGAATCAAGACAGAACAGCGCTTGCTTCCTCCGCATGTTCCGAACTGGAGGAATCCCGGGCACGCTAGGATAATGGAAGCCCCTCCTCACGTCTTAGGAAAAAGCAGTTGCTTCTGTGAGGGTCTAGCTTTGAGGTCAAGGGTCAGCTTAGTCCCCTCATGCTCTCCCCAGCTTTGCCCATTTTTTTTCCTCTGCTTCACCCCACACATCATCCTCGAACTAGCCAGGTGGACACCGGCTCCCTGAATCTGGGGTTTCATTAAGCCCGGGTTCAACATTAGCAGCCAGGAAAGAGGCAAGTCCCTCTACACTCAGAGATGCTCACCTCGGCTGTGTGCCTGGAGAAAGTCCAGTAACTCTGCTCTTGGCAAAACATTGACGCTGGTCAGTGGTCAGGGTCGTGCCCAACCTGCATATGGTTATGCAGGCTGCTCAGGGGCTCTGGGTTCTCTGTTTGGGGCTGAAAGGGCTTGGAAAATGGATTGATGGGCATGGTTGCTCTCAGTGAGGGCTCTTACTGGCCAAGGGCTAGACAGGTCTGGAACTTCAGGGAGAGGAATGATTGGGCAAGCTAGACCAGGAGCTTCCTCTAAGAGAAGCCCATGGTGTAACCTGACGTGGGTTCTCCATCAGTGCCTGCAGGTACCGTGCCTGCCAAACCACAACTTACAGCCAGAAACTCACAACGTTTGGCATTCTGGCAACCCTGGGCAGGGCCAAATATGTGCTCTGAGCTTCCAGTTCATTCTTGTCTTCCTTCACCTGAATCAGAAGACACTAGGGATGGGTGAGGGCTTGGGCCCTGTGCCCCTTAATGATTCTGGGTCCCTGAGTCCTCAGAGGCCCGGGAACAGACAAACGCTGAAAGCCTGGCATTATTAACACTGTGTCTGTCTGTTCTGGAGTGTCTGTGTCTGTGTGTCTGATGGCGGAGGACTCAGGAACCTGTGGTGGGGCATTGAGCTGTGGCTTTTGGATCTGTCACCAGGCTCAAGCCAAGTGGCCATGTCCTTCATCTTGGCTATCTTGGCCCCAGGAAATGGGGTGTAACTCCTGCTAGGATATCCCTAAACACATGTGTGTACATATATATGTATACACACACATGTGTGTACTCTGCTACCTCCCACCCCCCACCCTGGTTTGGACACATGGAGCTTGGGGATGGCCCACACTGAGCATGTTTTCAGGAGGTGGGGCTCCAAGGAGCAGGACTTCCTGGGAATGGCATTCCCAGGACCAGGGTTTCCCTTTGAGGGTTATGGGATGAGTTCTAAAAGCCTGGCTTCCTGACCACCACATCCCATGGAGCATGTATTCAAAATGCAAAGGACAGGACTTCTCCATCCCACAGACTCGGTCACTGGAGAAGGGGCCCTGAGTTCTGCAGGCTCGACATACACCCAAGGGGTCGTATGCAGAGCCTGGGCACCTCTGCATCCTGGGGTTGGGACTGGGGGGTGGCTTGAGTGGGAATCCTTCTCTCCCTCCAGCCACAGGAGACCAGCCCCATCCTGGCAGCACTCCATGCTCTAACCACCTGTCTCTTTGTCACTAACCTCTGTTCGTGTCTTGTTCTCAACTTTCCAGCCAGATGTTTAGTAATAAGCGGAGTTTCTTTCGGATCCACGCCAGCTGGAGACCGAGGTACCCCCTCATCTGCTCCTCCTGTCCCCTTTCCTCCGTGCTCCCCCCCACTTTAGGGGCTGGAGAGGGGGACAGGATGGGCCAAGGACAAGGTGCATGTGCCTGCCGCCTGCAATCTGCCTTGGGGCCCTAAGCCCCCTTGCCTTCCTGGGGTTGCCTCTGCCAGGTTTAGGGCATGTGCCCAGTGCCAGGTTTAGGGCAAAGCACTCTCAGGGGCTTTGAGGATATGCTGGCTCTGCTGCTGACCCCTGCTCTCTTGACTTAATTACTTCTCTTCTTCAGACCTGTTTCCCTTCTGTGGGATGGACAGGTTGAACTAGAGGCTCTCTGAGGGCCCTTCCCACTCTGACCTGTGCCAAGCTTGGGATTGGTTCCCTGCCTCTCCCACCACCCACCTGGGAAGCCCGCAGGTACCTGAAGGGGCTGCGCCCAGCACCTGTGACACCACCAGTTTCAGAGCCCCGGCTCTTTCAGCTGCACCACGGCTACATTTGTGGCACCTGCCCCATGCCAGGCCCTGCTCTGTGCACCGGGGAAATGGCGATGAATAAAACATGGTCCGCGGGGAGCTGCAAAGAGTAATTGTGGTTCAGTGCGTTGAGCACAACCCAAGAGGGGCTGTGGAGCCGAGGTCAGACATTTAGCCCAGAAGCAGTCCTGGAAGAGGTGGCTGCAGGGGGAGGGTGCCCCGGCCAGGGAGCTGCACAGATGGAGCTCGGGAGGGAAAGAGAAGGCGCAGCTGTGGGAGAGGAGCCTGCAGCCCAGTAGGGCGTGATCTGAGAGTGGCCCCTGGAGCCACTCTGGGGCAGGATGGGGTCAGGAAGACCCCAACCACCAGGATGAGCCTCATCCTGTTGGCACTGGGGTGGCCTAGGTTTGGGGAGCCTTGTGGTTGGAGACAGGGCCAGGGCCCCTACTAGGCTTCTGTTGAGAGGCAGCCCGTTCTTAGAATCGTCGTTTCAGGCCACCCTCTAGCTCCAATTTGCTAGCTATGTGTCCTTGCACACACCACCTAGCTTTCTAGGCCTCAGTTTCCTTCCATGTAAAATAAAGGTGCTAATGGGGTTTGCTTCTGCTAAAACTGACTGGCTTCTGTAAATGTAAGTTGGCCTCATTCAACCTAGTAGGCTTGTCAGTTAAGAAGGCCTTTGGGGTGTGCCTCAGTTGGTAGAGTGCTTGCCTAGCATGCATGAGTCTGCTTCCAAGTGCTGCATAAACTGGATGTGGTGGTGCATGCCTACTGTTATAGCACATGGGAGGTAGAGGTAGGAGGATCAGAAGTTCAAGGTTGTCCTTGGCTATATATCAAGTTTCAGGCCAGACTGGACTACACGAGGTCCTATCTTCTAAATGAATGAATGAATGAATAAATAAATAAATAAAATAATAAAATAAAAGCCATACTTTTGAAAAGCAGTTTGGAAGCTGAGAAGGATATAGCTTTATGGCAGACCTCTCAAGTTCTATTCCCAATCTTGGAAAAAGAAAAATCAAAAGCTTCTGAATATGTCTGTAGGAAATAGGGGCTCCCCGAAGGTGGCGCTGAGGAGGCTGGGTTAGACCTGCCCGGTGTAGGTTGGAGGTCAGGAATGTCCCAAGGTAGAGAGGCCAGTGGTAAGGCTGTTTCCTCATAGTCCTTGAAGAGGGGCTGTGTGGAACATCACAGGGTTGGGTGTCTGCCTTTCTCAGCCTGGGCTGTGGTGGGCAGAGTTCCCTATGGCTGGGTTTTCAGGGCACTTGGAGAGCAGCCGATGAAGGGTTTACTCCCTTCCTTCCCCTTCCCCTACATCTTTCCACCCCCATGCACTAGTGCAGCCACCCCCATCTGTCCAGGCACCAACAGCCCCCCTTTTTCTATCTCAACACTGTTGACGTTTTGAATCTGATGATTCTTTTTTCTGTGGCCTACGGCATGCATCTTGGGATGGTGGACAGAATTTCTGGCTTCCACCCAGGAGGTACCGGGAGAGCACCTTTACAGAGTGATAACCTACAGTATTTCCATTGTCAGGTGCCTCCTGGTGGGCAAGACCGCCCCCAGCTGAGGACCACTGCCATAGTTCCCACACTAAACCCTGGTCCTGGGAAAAGGCAGTTTCTAAAGACAGAGAAAATGGATCCTGATGTTGTTCTTGTTTTAGGTGAATCGTTTCTTTCTTTCTGCATCTATAAACTAGGGATGGCAAATTCAAGGACCATACCAGGGGAGGCTTAGAGACCTAAAGGCACCAAAGCCTGCAGATGGACCCTGTGTGCTCCTAGGGGCCTAGGAAGAAAAGAGCTCTTTGGTGCCTACCGTGTGCCAGGTTTCTTTCCATTTTCTTTGAGCTTTCAGGCTCCAGAGAGGCTGACGTGAGCCTTTTTCTGGTTCCTGCCCAAGGAATTGGAATCCAGGGCTGCTCCAGGGGAAAACAGTGTCTTCTTGCATTCAAGAGGAGCCAAGACCTTTGACTGGCTGGAAAGTTACAGAATCCCTAAATCAGGCCAGAAGCTCCCTCCACCACCAGGGAATTAGAGCCAGAAAGGGACTTTGTAAGCCCCAGTGCAAGCCTCGGTCTCCTTCCTCTGAGAGCTCTGCCAGGTGCAAGCATAGCCTTGTACACTCCAGTAATGGAGGCCACGCTTCCCCAGAACTTCAAGAAGCAATCTGGAGTTCCAGTCCTTGGGCCGAAGCCCAAGGACTCCTCAGTCTCCTCTCTCTCAACATTGGAGGAGCAGAGGACAGGGTGGTCCTGCATGGCCTGGGTGGGTATGGGTGCTTGCCAGCATGAGGAGAGCCCACAGGAATGGGGCTGCAGAGGCAAGTTTGGGAAAGCCACACTCAAACTTCTCTTAGAATCTTTGGGGTGTGTCAAAGAGATCCCAGGATTCCAAAGAACATGATGGATTCCTTCTACTAGCCCCAAGCTCCCAACTTGTGACCTATAACCTCTACCCCTAGGCAGGGACCCACCCTTCAGGTTGGCCCCACATCTGGGCCACCTTTCCCAAGGTGGCCCTGGTTTGGTCCACTCCCCCACCTCACCACGCTGGCTCTGCTCTCTGCTCCATGCCCTAGGCATGGGGGCCCTGCCTCCCACCTAATACAGAAACTAGATTCTGTTATCTGCTCAGCCCTTGATCTGAAAGACCTCAGGCAGGGGCTAGGACCCCCTCTTCACCTCTGCCTCTTCTCCAGCCTTATCTGATGTTTTCCTGCACTATGGCTCTAGACACTTGGTGTGGGAACCCCTGGAGGTGTGTCAGCTGGGGTTCTCCAGCAGGGGAAATGCTGCAGGGTGTCGGGTGGAGGATGCTTGCTGAGGTCTTACCAACAGCATAGCATGGTTCTCGAACCTCTTGGACACAGAGTTGCTCTACCAGGTATTGGTTAACTGGGGCCTGTCTGAGGGAAATGGAGGCCTCCTTCTGTTTGTCCTCCAAGGTTTGGGGGAAGTGACGGGGAGCAGGGTGCAGGAAGAGAAGCGAGAGCAAGCTTTCTTGCACACACGTGTGTTCACAAGCACACAGGTGAGTAGGCAGAAAGATGAGCCTTCCAGGTGCTCCAAGACCATGTGGGTAGGATGTCAGTCTTGGAAAGCAGAACTCAGGCAGGGAAAACCACAGGAGAACAGGTTACCACACACAAATCCTCATGGAGGGGACCAGCACCTGGTGTGCCCTGGCCATGCAGAGCCTCAGCGGGCCATCATATCACACAGCCCCCCAGCTAACAACACATGGAAATCTGGGATAGAGACCTACGTTTGCAGCGTCCTGTTTATGCAGTCGCTCCAGGTCCTGAAGCCGCCGTGACCTGACCAGTGTGGGATAAGATGGCTCCAGCGGTGGGGGGAGGAGGTGTCAATGGACACATGTATACACACTGTGTATACACATGGGGGGCTGTGTACCCGGGTACACATGTGCACACACTTTCGCTTCCACAAAGCCAACCCCTGGGTACAAGGAGGCCCGGAGCCTGGCTCTGTGTGCCTGACCAGTGAGCTTCTCCTACAGTGTGTCTGTGCCCACAGGGTCTGCTACCTCCACTCCGCACCCACCTACCTGGGCTGGTCCGGGGTCCTCTGTCCTCCCGTCTCTCACTTCCTTCTGGTTTCTCTCACTGCTTTCACTCTGTCATCTGTCTCCTGTTGTGACCCTTATGTGTCTGGGGATGGGGATGGGAAAGAGTGGGAGGTGGGGCTGGGGAAGGGATGTGTCCCCATTGACCTACTTAGCTTCCTGTAGGCATCAGGGCCCCCTCACCACACCCAAGGAAATGACTGGTGGGAAATCCAGACCCGATAGCTAGCCCCTAGGTCAGCTTTGTCCCCACCTGCCTGCCGACCTGCTTCAGCACCAGCTAACTTGACCCTTTCCCTGGCCCGCCATGCCCCGCCAGCAGCCGGATGGGCATCAAAGACCGCATCCGCATGAGCAGCTCCCAGAAGCGGACAGGTCCCTCCAAACAGCACCTGGCACCTCCGCCAATACCCACCTCGCCGAGCAGTGAGCAGGTGGGTGAGGCGTCCAGCCCCAGCAAGGTGCAGAAGAGTTGGAGCTTCAATGACCGCACCCGCTTCCGGGCCTCTCTAAGACTCAAGCCCCGCAGCTCTGCTGAGGGTAAGCCCCAGAGGTCAAGTGCATCTGCTGGAGGGGGCGGGGGTGTGGAGGTGGGGGTGGGGTGGGGAGGAGGCTGGCTCAGGTCATCTGCTCTAGAAAACGGGCATCAGAACTTCCTCTTCGCTATAACCCAGTCTCCAGACTGTAGGATAATCAAATGAGAATCTAGAGAGGGCTTTTTGGCAGAGCACAGGATTGGAACCAGGCTTCCAAGAACTGATTACTGGCTCTGTTAATTTTTTTTAAATTAAATTATATTTTACTTATTTATGGTGTGTATGTGTCCATGTCTGTGTGAGTGGAAGTCAGGGGACAACCTGTGGGAGTTGGCTCCCTCCTACGTGGGTCCTCCGGATCAAACTTGGTCATCAGCCTGCATGCCAATCACTCTTCTCCCTGGGCCATCTCACTGGCCCTCCGTCACCTGTTTTAGATAAGTGACCACATCACTCTGGGTCCCACTTTCCCCATCTGTAAAATGGAGGCCATAGCAGTATCTATTTCGGAGAAAGATTCTGAGGCGTAAGTGAGGTGATCCTCGGAAGTCGAACAGGAGGGTGGAATTCATAGTGAGTGCCCAGCAGCAGCCAGCTCTCGGGGCATCTGGAAGGAGTCATAACCCTGTGTGCAGCTGCCCACTGGACAGTCTCCATTGCTTCTCTCAGCTACTCCGTTTTGCCTCCACCCTGTAGACATGGAAACTGAGACTCTCAGCATGTGAGTGGGAGAGCTCTTA